ATTATTTTCGCATTCAATCGCTTCACACAAAACACTATTATTTGAATACAAAATACATTTCATTTTATCTATTTTTTCACAAAAACTTTTGATTTCAATTAATTTGCAAATCATTTCATTTAGAGAAACACTCATTGAATTTGAACACATTTTCAAACAATTAAAACACAATTAAATGTATATTTGAAATAAACTGAAACTCAATGGAAAGGGAAACGAAATGCAACTCAAAAGCTAATGGATATCCTTTACAACACGTGTTCTCATTGATAGTGAAAACCTGTTTATCAAATATTTTCATCATATATTCAGGTATACGCTGTTATGGACGTCATGTAAACTCACACCTACAATGCGCAGCTTCTATAGCTTTTAGCTTTCTAGAATTTAGCTTCTAATATATTTATAACTTCAATTCAGCAATCATTGATAGCCTATCAATTGTATTTAGAAATAACATGTATATATTTGTAAATATTTTCATATATTTTAATCAGTTTAATAAAAAATTATAATAATTACAATAAAAACTATTATAAACGCACATGAATTTTAAGTATTGTTACAATTTTAATTAAAGTTAGCAATTTTTAAAATAACAATTACAAATAAATATGCATTTTTAAATATTTTTACGGAATTTCAAGCTTAGCACATGTGACATATCATAAAACTAGGTAAAACAATAAACATGTCGGATAGATATGGAGATCAGCCGCGATGGGCGGCACCTCCTAGTCATTGGACACGCATTGGATCGCAACCAATGGGCGAATACTACCCGACGCCACCCCAAACACCCGGTGCCGCTAACCTAATGGACGCCTCTATCGATGAACTGCCGGCAATATTAAGCCCACAGACAACTACCGGTAAATACAGTTCACCCCTGGCCAGAGGCTACCATCGTTTACCCCCGATCAGTGAATCATCATCGAGCGCACTACCACCGCGTGATTGTAAACAACGTGGTTGGTTTGGCAGGCGATTAGGTGGCGCACCCGTAGGCCATACCGTTCGGCGCTTGTTTGCCAAAAACAGCGATAAAACCGGTGAACAATTCGCACCGCTATTAGCGCCCGAACCGGTAATACAGACGCCAATACAGGATACTGTCGACGACTCCCCGGACTCGCCGTACGCGCCCACCGGACACACACCGCCGGTACAAATAAGTCAGGAGCCGCTGCGGCGACTGCAGGCCCGCTACGAGAAAGCACCCGTCGGTTACGGACCGGACGGTCCGGATATGACGTCCGGTGCTCTCCATCTCAGCAGCCGGGAGACGGCGGGCGGTTCGGTCGGTCGTTGGTTTGGCCGTCTGCTGCCCGGCGCTGATCGACGCCGGCTTACGGGTAAGACCAAACGCGATTTGCAACGGCTCCGGGAGTTGGGCTTTGATATCACCATCAGTGAGGCGATCGGTGAGGGTAACTATGGCCGGGTGTTTAGAGGCGCCTATAATGCACAGGTATGATCACAATTGACTAGGTTGTTTTAGTTAACAGTATTTTTTTACCAATTTTATTTTATAATTTATTAGATTGTGAAGCTCATAGGCACACATCAGGGTAAATATTTGGGCAGTAGTGTTAAGCCTGGTCAATTGTTTGCTGCCAAATACGTTCAGCTCGCGGCCGACTGCGAGCCCCGTCAACATCTCATGTATGCTCTCGAGCGGCGAATCATGAAATGGTTGAGACATCCAAACATTGTCTCCTATAGAGTGACCATTAATTTAGGCCAACGAGTGATACTCCGTAGCGTAAGATTAGGCCCTCCAGGCGCTCATATTGTCACCTATAGGCGCATGTTTTTGATCATGGACTTTGCCGACCAGGGTACATTACGCCAGTTTGTGACCAAGGGCAAATGCGACGATGTGTTGGCCGTGAAGTTTGCCCTGGAGTTGTGCTCAGGTATGTTGTAAATGTTTGTTATATTAAGTATTTTTAATTGTATTTGCATTTATGTGTAGCCATGGCTTATATGCACGACAATGGGGTCGTACACCAGGACTGTCACGGAAACAATATATTGGTGTTCAGCGCACCCGACGGTCAGTATACCACCAAATGGACTGACTTTGGTTTGGCCATATCGCGCCGGGTTTACGCCCAGTGGGGCATTCATGTATCACGTGGTGAGATGTACCACATATCTCGGTCTGATTTAACACAATTGCATACCGTGTTATCGTTTATGGTAAACAAGTGCCAGAAAAACACAGGCACTGACCTGCGAGAGCTCCGGGCACTGATCGACGAGTTGGAAGTGTCTACTGAATCGTTAAGCAAACTGATTGGTAAATACGCTATGTTTCATACATAAGGTATCGATTGTTATATTGAAGTTATCAAAGTATCAGGTTAATAAAAATTAGTACCATCATTAGGTAAAATCATTATCATTTTATTGATATATTTTTATAATAAATTAATACAAAATAATATTTTAAAATTATAAAGGTGTTGAATGTTTTAATTTTATATGAAGCTTTAATTTTGATTTATTAGTATAGGATTTGTGGCATTTATTCGCAACACATTTGAATGGCTTTATATTTAAATGTTTGGCATTCATGTGATCTGTTAATAAAGTTTTATCGACAAAACATTTTCCGCAATCATTTGATAGGCATTTATATTTTCGAACAGTTGTATGAATTATTTTCTTATGCTTCCATAAAATCGTAGAATTACTAAATGTTTTGTTGCAATCATTTAAATGACAAACAAATGGTTTTTCTCCCGAATGAATGCGTTTGTGAACAATTAAATATGATTTACGACGAAATTTTTTATCACAATTTTCTTCATTACATTTGAATTTTCTTTCATTTAAATGAAAAGAATTTTTGTGTCGAATTAAAGATGATTTTTCTGTAAAATATTTGTGGCATTCATTGAAATCACAAATAAATCTTACTTTTAAATGAATGTAATTTTTGTGATGTTTTAGACCAGGATATGTTTTGAAAATTTTATCACAATTATTAAAATCACATTTAAATTGTTTTATTGATGAATGAATTAATTGATGTCGAACTAAAGCCTTATTCACTTTTGTCTTGTACTGACATTTAGGCCAAAAACAGTGCAAATAATCATCAGATTTAGTAATGATATGACAAACGGGATGTTTGTATCAAATGCTGGAAATAAGTTTCATATACTTCTCGTACGAAACCACTACTGATGTCAGGTTTGACTCGCAGTCCATACGGCGAGTGCCGGCCGTAACGCTATGTCTAAACAAAATGGATATGTTATACAATAAAAATAACAGTTATATTAACGCTTTTCAACGCTTATCATTGCGCGAACAATTCAATACATTAATGGACCCAACAGTTCGATTTAAATGTACAGTAATTGATGGCAGTGGACAAAGGTATCATTGTATAAATGTTACCAAGTATATTTCATCAATCAACAATGATCATTATTGTCTTACGTTGTTTACCTACTGGGTTGCAGAATATGTAAGTGACCGCTGGCTAAATATAAACAAAAATCGCACTAGCACACAATTTAACGCACTAATCGATATAGTCAATAGAGATACTTTAAATACACCATTGGTCAAAATGAACATACATTCTCAATGGGAACGTGTTTACAACTATTTTGATAGGGGATCAGCCTATTTAAATATAAGCAAAAGCAACACGTGTCATGTTAAATTTAGAAAAACTACCATAATATATAAGTATAAAATTAAACGAAATGCACTATGTTTTGAGCAAGGTGAGTCTCATGAGAGTTGCGTTTATCAGTGTAGAATTAAGAAGTACATAGATGCGTATTCGGCAATACCTGGCTACTATTTTTATCATAATGAAATAAATCAACCATACAATTATATAGACAACATTTGTTTTGCTGATGTATACAACACTAGTTTAGAGAAGGATTGCGAACGCAAGTGTTTGAAACGAGTGGAGTGCGTACAACACTATTATTCTATGAATAACATGGTAATGAATTATTATAAACATGATGATCGTAATTTTCGTATACTCTTTGAAATACCGTCGGAACCGGAAGTTATATATATTTTAAATCTGAAAATGTCAATTGCAGAGTACATGTGCTTTTTGGGCAGTCTATTAGGTCTATGGTTTGGCTACTCTATACTACTATTGACTCATACAGTTCGGGACGTGTGTAAAAAGTACAACATTTTAAATGCAATTAACTTTAACTTTATGTCAAAAGGAAATTTGAATATTAAAGTTATTAATATACATAATAACACTCGGGTGGCTGCGTGCCAAAACCAACCTGGTATTATGTCAGTTAGACCTAGAACGCCTAATTGATATAATTATAAATCACATGCAATTATTTATAATTGTTTAATATTAATATTACACACAATATAATTAACAATTAAAATCATAATATATAAAGAGTGAAATAATTTGATGTTATAATCATCGCAGACCAAATAATTAAAGACTCAAATTTTTATGTTAATTTTTACACATCACATATCAATACTTTTTAATAAGAGTAATTAGTATGTTATGTATATTAGTGATCGTAATTATGGTGCCTGTGCCGAGGGACGGCACGGCACCGGCACCAGTATAAACTATACCGGCACTGGACCGGCAGCGGCCCTGGTGGCAGCTGTTTACGTGCTTGCACGGCTACTAACACTTAATTCAGTATTTGTCGACATTTTAAACCATAATCAAATAAAACAAATTAATATTAAAGTCTTTGTTTTATAAAACCATAAACGAAGATTGCGTTTCATATATTTGAATAAGATAAATTAGATGACTGAACATGCTATATCAGCACCGGCACTACTGGCACTGGAACGGCCCGGCACTCAAAAATTGTATTTTTTCGATCACTTTATATCAATATATTTTATACAATTAAGAAATTATACGTTAAAAAGTCCTCTAATTATGTATTATTTTTAAAATATATAATAAATATTTATTAAAAATCTATAATGTATTGAAAGATATCTAAAGTCATTTATAATGTTATCAAAAAATGTCTCGAAGAATACATGTGTTTTTAGGACAGTCTATTGGGCCTATGGTTGGTTACAATGCGCTTATTCTGACCGAACATTTGCATCAATTGTACAATAAATACTATATTTCTAGTATTTTTACTCAAAATACAATTAATAATATTAGTTATAAAAACTACCACAATATTTATTTAATTGCGCGCTTTATTGAATCACATCATAATCGTTGGTCACATCCGACAACCTTGGTAAATTAATAATTTTAATTAAAAACAATGCTAAGATAGTTACATGTACTTCACACGGTTAACCACAATTAGGGACTTCCCATAAAAAGCATTATCTTGTTTGAAATTAGTAGTAATAAGAGATTACAAGACTTAAAAACATTTGCAATTAAAATGTTTTAATTAAAATGTTTTAAATGATTTAATATACTTATTTTTATAAGTTTGTTGTGAATATATCGCAACATCATTGATGCGTGAATGGTGCGACAGTATGTATAGAGTCGATGAACAATACTATCGACAATACATTTAACTATTAAACACAATTAATGTTTTTGTTTGATAACTTTAATTATAATTAATAAATCAAAATTATTTAAAGTGGCTCGGTTCCAGTTTCTCGTCTTTTCAATTTAGTCCACAAAAATATATATTTTTATAATCAGCACATATAGCCCTCCAAAAAACCCTTTGGGCACACCCCTCCCATACAGTATTGGTATAAATTATGGTAATTGTATTATGATAAAATGTTTAACTATGATGTCTATGAATATGTTGACGCAAATCACTTGTGACAAAGCGTTGATTACAACACTACCATAATTTAACATTTTTATATCAATTAATTTTTATGAGAATATTTAACATGTTTTTGAAGATATTGATTTCTGGCATAACTTCCGCCGCAATCCTTATAATGGCATTTAAATGGTTTAACAGTTAAATGAGTGCTTTTATGCTCTTTTAAATATGACATTTTGTGAAAACCTTTATTGCAATCTTTGAAATCACAAATAAATCTTAGTTTCAAATGAACGCGATTTCTTTGTTTGACAATATGATTGGTTTGTTTGAAGGTTTGCTTACAATCGGGGAAATCACATTTGATTAGCCTTTCATTCAAATGAACATTAAAATTAATTATAATTATCTTCGATTTCTGTATCCGAGTTGTCCTCAATTTCGGTTTCGGAGTCATCGATCACTGGAGGTGCAGTCAAGAAAGGCTCACTTCTACACTTAGGGTAAACAATAGACACTTCGGGAAAACGCCTCATTCGGTCGCCACCAATCGGGATATCATTTAATCTAAAATATACAATGAATATACACATTGTTAGAATATTTTAAACAATATTTAGTTATATTTAAATTGTCAAATTCATTTAATCAAATCCCATAGGAATACTAATGTTAAACCTGTCATAGATTTAAGCTGTAATTCCATAGAAACCCATATTAAAAATTATAAAGTAAGGGCAGGGGAGGGGTAGCCGACCGATTCTATAAACAACATTTGTCATAAATTAATTGTGATTAAAAATATATCTTACATTTGTTTAAAAAAGAGATATATGTCGATATATCCTGTCACATGACGACTTTATTATCTTCATGGCAGACACCGCCAAATGCCTAAATTTGCCTAACCGGCGCCGAATTTGGCCGAATATAGAAGCGTCTGATACAGTTCCACCGTCATTCCTGGCCCGCCAATCTGTGCTTCACCGTACAAACTCTTCGCATAAAATAATACCTGTAATGGTAAAATGAAATATTTAGAATTTATATTTCAATTATTGGTGAAATTAACTCATTTGAATTTTAAGCTATATTTAAAATAAATTAACCTTATATTCACTACCAGATTGTTAAACATAAACACTGCCAAACAATTATTACGTTAGAGGTACTTGTTGTTTACAAGCTTATCCAATTTAAAATTGTTTCACTAATAGTTGATTGCATTTTGTTACTATACAATCACTTTACAATAAACATGTCTCTAAATATTGGCGATGAAATAAACTAATTCTATTTACTAAATTGTTAAGCTAATATGAAAACGTCTATACCTCAAATTCCACTAAGGCTAATAAGATATGACGTCAGAGGTATTTTTGTTTACAGATTATTCAATTTAAAATTGTTTCGCTAAAAGTTGATTACCTATTGTTATTATAAAATCACTTTACATTAAGGTACTTTATGTTTACAAGATTATTCAATTTAAAATTGTTTCGCTAAAAGTTGATTACCTATTGTTATTATAAAATCACTTTACATTCAACATGTCTCTAAATATTGGCTATGAAATAAACTAATTCTATTTACTTAATTGTTCAGCTAATATGAAAACGTCTATACCGCAAATTCCACTAAGGCTAATAAGATATGACGTCAGAGGTACTTTTTGTTTACAAGATTATTCAAAATAAAATTGTTTCGCTAAAAGTTGATTACCTATTGTTATTATAAAATCACTTTACATTCAACATGTCTAAATATTGGCTATGAAATAAACTAATAGTCTTTACTAAATTGTTAAGCTAATATGAAAACGTCCATACCTCAAATTCCACAAAGGTTAATAAGATATGACGTCAGAGGTACTTTATGTTTACAAGATTATTCAATTTAAAATTGTTTCGCTAAAAGTTGATTACCTATTGTTATTATAAAATCACTTTACATTCAACATGTCTCTAAATATCGGCGATGAAATAAACTAATTCTATTTACTAAATTGTTAAGCTAATATGAAAACGTCCATACCTCAAATTCCACAAAGGTTAATAAGATATGACGTCAGAGGTACTTTATGTTTACAAGATTATTCAATTTAAAATTGTTTCGCTAAAAGTTGATTACCTATTGTTATTATAAAATCACTTTACATTCAACATGTCTCTAAATATTGAAGGTACTTTATGTTTACAAGATTATTCAATTTAAAATTGTTTCGCTAAAAGTTGATTACCTATTGTTATTATAAAATCACTTTACATTCAACATGTCTCTAAATATCAGCGATGAAATAAACTAATTGTCTTTACTAAATTGTTAAGCTAATATGAAAACGTTTATACCGCAAATTCCACTAAGGCTAATAAGATATGACGTCAGAAGTACTTTTTGTTTACAAGATTATTCAATTTAAAATTGTTTCGCTAAAAGTTGATTACCTATTGTTATTATAAAATCACTTTACATTCAACATGTCTCTAAATATTGATAATAAGATATGACGTCAGAGGTACTTTATGTTTACAAGATTATTCAATTTAAAATTGTTTCGCTAAAAGTTGATTACCTATTGTTATTATAAAATCACTTTACATTCAACATGTCTCTAAATATTGGCTATGAAATAAACTAATTAGATGTGAATGTATTCCAACCTTGGCAAATTTTCCACTCAATGAACTACTGTTTATTATATCAATTTGTGAATAAAATTGTCCGCTTGCTGGATCTTTTGTCAGATTCTGCCCGTATTCACCTCTATATTCTTTTGTCCATTGTGTGAATAATGTAAGGCAAAAATTACCTTCGTCAATTGAGGCAATATATTTGGTGAATTTGGTACATGATTGATAGTTTCCATTTGCATCCAATAAAATACAGTCAAAGCGTAAAGTTGGGTCAATAAATTCCTTGAATTGATTGCGCAATGATAAGCGGTTAAAAGCGGTAATATTTATAACTTTCGTTTTGTCTAACAAATCAATTTTGTTCAGACATAAGGTTACGGCAGGCATTCGTTGTGCGGACAGAGAGTCAAACCTGACATCAGTAGTGGTTTCGTACGAGAAGTATATGAAACTTATTTCCAGCATTTGATACAAACATCCCGTAAAACATATAACGTATGATATAATTGTAAATATTTTATTGTAAATATTATTTGCCATTACAGTATAATCTTTAGTTATCTTTAAATATCTATTATGACTTACAATACACAATTTTAATTTGTTT